TGGCGTAGGTGGCCCCCTGGACTTGCTGCGATCCCCACCAGTTCAGGGCGCCACTTACGCCAACTTGTTAGGCTAGATGCTATGCAGACTCTGATTTTGAATAATTTATGCGTTGACACCTGATTGACAGCTGTAAGAATTATTGGGGGGTCGTCTGAGTGCTGTTCTGGCATAAGTTATTTTCAGAGCAGAAAAGTCTTGTTCACAACAATGGACACAATTTTCATTGTAAAGGATAATAAATTGGAACAAAAATTTTTGCATCAGGATCCATTACCAAGTCCCTGGCTGAGTTTGAGTCGCAGTACAATTTTACTCTGAATCAATTCAAACCACTCAGGGTTCCTACAAACTTTGTTCTGTTTAAAATTGATGCAATTACCTGACTAAATAAATAAGGAGGGGAAATTATTCATGTGCTTGATATCAATGAAAGTGATGGGTCATGTGATTCCAAACCCTACCTTATTATGATTGGTAAAACTATTAATAGACTAATTTGTACCATTGACCATCAAGTGTTCATTTGACCCCATAAATCACAAAATCATCCCATATGTAATCAGAAAACAGTCAATACTGATATTAAAAACCAACAATAACACTATTGTTTTATTTTTGGTACATATGTAACTAATATCCAGTTACTTAACAACTAAAGAATGCAAAGGAACCAAAAAATGGATCAAGTCAGCACTAAAGTTATAATTCAGGGTGAAAAAACACTAAAATGTTGACCAGCTAGCACAGTGTTTCTGAATCGTTTAACGAAATATATGTCAACAGATGAATTGTGTGGTGCTGGTTTAAGGTGTCACTAACATTAAAGTGCATATAATTAGGTAAATGATGTGAAATATTAAATATGAGAATTCAATGAAACACAAAATGCATGCATACAAATAAAATATGTTAAAAATATATTTTTTTTTAAATCAATTACTTTAATTCAATGGCCATACCTTTTTACAGGATGATTGACATAGTCTTGACAGACTCCTGTATAATAACTTGATGTGAGTGAGACTTCAAAATGTGTATTAAGACTCTTCACTCTTTCATAAAGTTGATCGTCTTCTAATACTTTGTACCCGTGACCAATTCTGTCAACACTCATCTTGTCAATGGCTTCCAGTACCGATTCTGATGATGTGCTCTCTCCAGCATGGGCAGTACGATGTACACCACAGCGAGCCGCTTCCTAAAGCAACCACATTAAATTAATTGCACATTAATAGTTATACTATTAACATAATCTGTTAAGCAAAATAATTGCAACAGGCAGTGTAAAATATATTAGAATGTATAATTTGTCTGACTGTGCCTGGCGCTAGTACTAGAACAATGAAATTAAAGCTGTAAACAACATCACAGGGATGTAAGTTTTACAAGGTGACCAGCTATTAAATAAATGTCAAACTGTAATGCACTTGGCACATACATAGTGCAAGCTAAATTTAAGATTAGTGTGGTTAATGGTTCGGTAAGTGGTAAATATGTATCTATAATAGATCCTAGATGGAAATCTGCTTTTTGCACACTATATCCACAGTCAGCTGGCGCACACGTGATAATAAAAT